TATTCAGGCCTTTTTTTAAACTTCCCAATCTATATTATTATTATTATTATTATTATTATTATTATTATTACTACTACTACTACTACTACTACTACTACTACTATTACTATTACTATTATTTATTAGGTTTAATATAGTCCAGTAGACTCTACAACGTGGTGGTCTCCCCTCTAAGAACTACACAGGTCAAGCTTAGCCCAAGCCAGCTAGATATTAATTTTTTTAAAGCCATCTTCACGTCACCTTTCCTTTCTATAAACATCGAAATAATGGAACTCAAGAAACAAAAACTTGGACTTCGGGCGGTTCCTTGCCTGGGGAGAAAGTCTGGGCTCCATCTGGCAATCGCTGGTTGTTCCAAGTTCCACCCAAAAGGCTGGGAAGGAGGGCTACGATGCCTGCACCTCCCGTGTCTGCCAGCAGGGGGCAGCACTGCCCTATGAAATAACACAAGCAAGATAGCAAGGGGGAAATCACACGGAAGAACTCGGACTTAATCTCCTAGCAGGAGTGTGTTTCTTTCATTCGTAGCATGAGAATATTTATGTCTCCTGCAACAGATTTTTGCAGCACCTTTTCTTTTTCCTTCGTTGACGCTTTTAGGGAGAGCCGGGTCCTCAAGGAGCAGTGGGTCTTCTAGGCGTCGCTGGTGTGAAAGTAAGTCTACCGTCCTTTGTAGACTTATTCTGCCGACTTACTCTACAATTCTAACACTCTAAATTTTCCCCTGGGAGGTGAGGTCCTTCTTCCACAGTGACGGTGGCAGAGAGTGGATTTCCACTATCCATTTAATTTTCCAAAAAACTTCTGATCTTTCCTAGAAGTTCCTAGAGGTGATACATCCGCTCCCCTTAAAATACAGGTTTTTTTAGGGAATCCTCATCTTTCATTCAAACTGGAGTGAGTGCGAGTTACAATGATCCTTCCAGTGCTGAATGGCAGCTTTTGGCCTCCGTCATTATGGGCCAAGCTGGCTGGGGCTTCTGGGAGGTGTAGTTCCACCCTTTCCTGGGTAGCTCGAGTTCCTGAAGCCCTGCTTTATGCAGAAAGCTGAGAGTGGATGGTGAATTGGGCCCCCTTCAGGATAAGCCAGACTAGGAAACCAAAGTCGTGCATGTTAATACTACTTTTATTATTAAGTGATAGTAAAAGAATCTTGCAAGTCTGAATGTGCTTCCCCCTCATCCGTGAGAGCTAGGGAGGGTCTTTTTCTGAGTTGCTTACTTGGATTACAGTTCCAGCCCGGACTCAGATTTCTTTTATCTGACTGTTGTCTTGGTTGCGGCTCTTCCTCCTGTTCCTCAAGGTCATTCCTTCTTCCCATTAAACCTGGCCTTTCATCCGCTCTTTTGCAGGGAGATCGGGGTGAGAGAGGACCTTCAGGACCTCCAGGGCCACAGGGAAAAGCGGTGAGTATGAGCCTTGGATTCAAAGAGGTCCCTTTTTCTTCCTGCCCAGAAGGAAATATGGGAATGCTTGGAAAAACCCAGCTCCTCCAGATGATGGTCTCTTCTATCTGCATGGTTCTTCTCCACATTGTTATAACCCCTGGGCTAGCAGACTAAGCCCCATTGTTTGGCTTCAACCCTCTCTTTCCGTTTGGCTAGGTATTTCTCAGCAAGATGCCAGCTAAGAATACCCAAGAACAGTGCGTATTGAGTACACTGGTTTAGGGTCTACAGAAACATTATTTTAGTAAAGTAAATCCCAAAACACATATCTGAAACTGTTATATTTATGACTCACTGCAGCTGCCCCTTGAGTACAGCTGTCCTTTTTATTACTGTATCCTGTTTCTTACTGTGAATCTTAGATTGGAAAAAGAAAAAAAGCTTCTTTCTCCATCAGAATTGAATTTTCTCTCCTTCCCCAATGCGACAACAATCCCGAGTGCCAGCTCCAAATGTCCAATATCCTTTTCTCTAACTCTTTCCCCCGTGTCTTCCTGGAGAGGAAGAGAATATTAACCATACAAGAGTACTTTGTCCCTATAGTTATTTCCAACTTACATTGACCACGGCTAGCTAGTGGTCATTCATTCATTCATTCATTCATTCATTCATTCATTCATTCATTCATTCATTCATTCATTTATATGTCACATTTACATAGCTGCCCATCTCACACAAAGCAACTCTGGGCAGTGTACAACAATTAAAATAACAAGTGAATAAAAGCAGGCATTATAAAAAGAGAAACAGTTACTATTAGAATAAAAACATTATCACAGATTTTAAAAAATAGAATTTAAAATATACAAACCCCACGGAGAGAGCAGAATATCAATTACAGTGGAGCCATCGAAGAAGGTCTCCTGGTTCCCAAAGACCCCCAGGCCTGATGACACAACCAGGTCTTGTGGGGGCTTCCTAAACGACACCGGGAAGGGGGGAGCCTCACTTCAGGGGGGAGAATGTTCCCCAAGGAGGGAGCCATGGCAGAGAAGGTCCGCCTCCTGAGACCCACCAAATGCAAGTCTCTGATGTGATCAGGGAGAGGCGGTCCCTCAAATAACCCAGCCCCATGCCATGAAGGGCTATAAAGGTCAAAACCAGCACCTTGAATTGGACCCGGAAGCAAACCGGCAGCCATTGCAACTCACGAAGCAGAGGTGTAGTATGTGCTCTTCTAGGAGCACACATAACTGCCATGCTATTGCATTCTGCAGCAGTTGAAGCTTCTAGATACTCTTCAAGGGCAGCCCCGCGTACAGCACATTACAGTAGTCCAATCTGGAGGTGACTAGGGCGTGTATGAGGCTTACCTGACTTCCACCGCACCTCTTGGCTTACACAGAGTATATCTTGAGATGGGCGGTATCTAAATTCGAAATACAAATAAATGTCCTGTAAGGATATACTTACTCCGGCCACCAGGAGACAGCACATGACCGGTTTCATCCTTTTGGCAGCTGATTAGGTATATGTGAAAACTTTAACGAGGACGACGACAACAACGTGCTTCTGCTTCAACTTTAGCCGGATTGGGCTCATCATGAGACAAAGTCAAAGCATCTTGGGTCTGTTTCATTCCTGAAGCACTGCATGGCGCCAACCATTAGGCTGCTGAGTTATGTATGAACCCAGCCACCAAGCTTATCCAACAAACCACAGTCAAACAGAGTCTTGCGTTAGTGTAATAGGTATTCCACAGACATCAAGCCGGGGGGATTCCCCCCCCCCCCATGTTGTTGATCTCTCTCTCAGAAAACAGACTTCTCTGTTCACGTCTACCCAACCGAGCGGCAGTTACGGTAGCAAAGTTTTTTCTGAGATGGGGATAAAAGAGAGAAAGGTGTTGCCTGCTAAATTTCAGTACACCAGGCTGCTGTGCCGAAGAAAAAGGGTCAGGAAACGAAGGCGGCAGTCTGAAATGATAATTGAAACTGTGTTTTCAAGCAGGCTGCGATCAACATTACCTGGATCTGCAATTATCACATCTTCTCTAGTTGACCCCCACCGTAACGTGCTTCGGTGAGAAGCTCTCCTTCTGTATCCAATTGTTCTTTATTATCACAACATCACCTTGCCGACAAAGATCCGCATAATCAAAGCTATGGTTTTCCCAGTAGCAATGCAAGGCTGTGAGAGCTGGACCATGAGGAAGGCTGAGCGCCGAAGAATTGATGCCTTTGAACTGTGGTGCAGGAGAAGACCTTAAGAGTCCCCTGAGCTGCTAGGAGGTCAAACCAGTCAATCTGAAAGGAAATCAACCCTGATTGCTCATTGGAAGGATCGATAATGAAGCTCAAGCTCAGATACTTGACGGCAGAGGATGAGATGGTTAGATAGCATCACTGAAGCAATGAACATGAAACTGAGCAAACTCAGGGAGGCAGTGAAGGACAGGAAGGCCTGGCGCGATGTGGCTCATGGGGTCACAAAGAGTTGGACATGACTTAACGACTGAACAAAAAAATCACAACATCATAAGGAAGGGACATTTAAGAGGGGGATCAGCAGACTTAGGGTTTTGAGGACTGGGACCACCCCTGAAACCTTGCTCTCCATTGTGTGTACGTGTGTGTGGTGTCTTGGAGCCTCTCTGATTTGGCAAAAGAATTGGCACACAGCTGCTCACTTTCCCGAGATGGGAAACACCTACAAATGTAGTATAAAACCTAAGGAGGTTTACCGCTGGAAAATCTCATTCTCCCATCCCTCTCTCCAAAACTTGCCCCAAACATCCGGGAGAAAATGCACAGAATCCCTGCCCTGGCCCACCTCCTCTGGCTTTCGTCTCCCCTCATGTTCAGTGCGACCATTTGTCAGCAGAAGGTTGCTCAGCCTTGATTTAATCATGATGAAGGTGCCATTTATCTATGCTGTAACTCACACCAGCATTGCTGAATGATGAAGGTCGCTTGGCTTTTTAAACTTTTTAAAAAGGGGAACTATTCCATCAGGCGGGCAAGCAGGGTTTAAACATAAAATAGCTTGAAATAGCCGAAATCTGATCTTCAAAATAAAATCAAAGGGGAGAAACTGGGCTTAAGCAACCGGATAGACATTTTTTTCCTTTTTTTTTTTTCCCCCCACCATGGATTAAATGATTTTTCTGAATAAGATGGATGCGGTCCATGTCAATCCCCAGGTTTTTCAACGGCAGAAGGTCCATTTGCTTCATGGTGTGGCCAGCTACAAGGCAAAGACACTCAACTTTGCTAATTGTTTAGCTTTCTCTAACCTTGCGAAAACCATTTCACTCTTTGAAGACTCTCTAGTATTTGGAAAATATCAGCAGATAATGCAAAGATTCATAACATAATCCTTTAGATGGATTTAGATCCTTTACATGGTTTAAGATGCAAACCAGAGAGGCCATCCGCCATGTCAGACTGAAGAGCTATCCCCCCACCCTCAATTTATTGCTTTAGCATGTATCCACCAGGCAAGGTATAAATTATTGCTGTTTAATTAACAACACTTTGCTTTTACGAACTGTATATCTTTCAGACAGCCCATGAAAACAGCTAAGCTATTTCATGTGAAGTCTTTGCCAGCTATTGTTTCGTGGCCTCCAGATACAGTAAAACCTTGATTTTATGGCCCAACTGGGAGGAAGGAATGCTTTAAATCCAAATGCACACAATGTACAGACATTATCTGACTGATTCACCAAAATTAGTTGGTTGGCAAAGCAGTCTGAATTCAGTTTTGCCCATTCCATCCAAAACCTATTGAATGTAAAGTTCAGGTTTTATTCTATGAGCAAGAAACTGTTGGGTGGTGTGTGAGTCTGTCGGTCTAGCTGGCTTTGTTCACTTGGTTCCTCTCCTTCCTTCTGCCTCATGTTTTATTCTTCTTCCTTCCCTTCCCTTCCCTTCCCTTCCCTTCCCTTCCCTTCCCTTCCCTTCCCTTCCCTTCCAGGGCCCAAAAGGAGAGCAGGGACCCCCTGGAATTCCAGGCCCCCAAGGTCTCCCAGGCGTTAAAGGCAGCAAGGTAACGTTTTGATCTTCCTGACTTGAAAACAATATTATGTGATCAGCAGAGGGCCATCTGAAAGCTCTCATTTCAGAAACACTCTGCAAGATTTCCGTCTTTGCAATCCCTGTCTTTCCTGGCTGCCACATTTTTCCAGCAGCTGTCAGCGTTGCATGATTTCACATAGCGTTGTGAGGCATCCGGAAATTCAGAATGTTAAAAGATTAATTAAAACAGAAAAAAATGCAGATGTCATAATAGCTTATGTGTCCTCATAGAGCATATCAGATATGGCCATCTAATGAGATTTTGGCCACTTTAGATATTGAATTAAAATATGTTTTAATTGTGGAGATCTTCGAGTGCCATTTAGTGGAGTTGCTGGGGTCATAGTACTCCTGTGTGTTGTGTTACTGATCCTCAGAATATGGGTGCCCCCCAAAAATGTCTGTGTGTGGGTGAGAGAGAGAGAGAGAGAGCGAATGGCAACCTTACCCACATTTGGCTATAACCCTGCCCACACCTTTGTTCAGCCCCACCACCACTGGCATGCAAGGCAATTCTTAACACTCTTATTCCTGCAGGAATAAGCTGAAAGACGGCTTGTCCTGTTCTGGATAACATTAAAGATGGCGCCCCAGAATGGGGACTTAGATGCTTAATTAGAAAGCTGCCGGTATAAGAAAAATACAAGAACCACCTTGCGGGATCAGATTTATTGGGTCCAACAGTTGGTTTCCTGCAGTAGCCAACTAGGCGCTCATTGAATCCCATCATCGGCATGGTCTGGTGATTCCCAGATGATGATTATGGTGATGATGATGATTAGATTTTTATGCCACCTTTTTTTTTTTCCTCTCTGTCTGTCTGTCTGTCTGTCTGTCTGTCTGTCTGCCTTGGGCCTCAGTTTTCCTAGATATTCAGTTTGGGAATTGTTGAGTCCCAACACATTTGGAATAAAGCTGTTGAAAACCTTGGTGGAGTGCTGTAATAGGTTCAACATCTTCTAAATTTCACATTTTCCCCTCTTCTTTTCTGTAGGGCTTCCCAGGAAAAAGTGGATCTAAAGGTGATATTGTAAGTATTTCTGTTGCATTTTTTCCCCTTTTAGTCCTTTTATCACTGTTTCTACAGAGCTACCCCAGTGAAGCAACTAGCGATTTATTGTCTCCTCTTTTGATCATATTTTATTTCTTAAGTTTTGATCTTGTACCTTCAGCATAAAATATCCCCTCAACAACTAACAAAAATACAAAGAGTCGTACAATTAATCCATAGAAATCAATAGAGAAACAGCAGCAGATACAGCCAAGTCAATAGCTATGAAATAAATAAGGGAAAACAGAAAGATTTTTGTTAGCCCAGAATGTCTCAGTACATTTGGACAAGCGAAAAGATTAAATGGGATAATGGAGAAAAATGGGTGTCAAGCGCTTAAACTGCAGCACGTGCTCGTAGAAGCAAGATTCACACGGGCTTTCTTTAAGGAGTTTTAATGCCAAGAATTATGGGTTAGAATACAGAATCTTGAGATGGGAGATAGCCCTCTTTTATTAGAGCATTTATTAAGGCAGGATCTCTCTGAAGCTTTGGAATGTCTTTTTCCCAAGCAATCTGCGTGATGAGCTAAGAATCTGTTTTTGCGAAAAAATCAGTAACCATCGCTTCCGCCTGCTGATTATTTGAGTCTCCTCTCAGCTGCAGCTTCAAATGGGCTTCACTTAGCATGGATTAGGCAGCTGGTGGGCTTCCTGCAGCCCCCAGCATACCATTGCTGCTCCCCCTCCCCCCGGGATCCTGAAATTGCATTGCTGGTCTGCTATAAAATGGCTGAATTTCAGACATTGCATTGTTTCCTCTTCCCCTCCGATATGGGGGGAAATGGAGCAGGAGGCATACGGGAGCACCTTTCCACCGAAAGTCCCCCAAAGAAAAAGTGGGCTGAATGTTCTTGGCCCCACCCCTTCCACCAGCAGATCTCGAGACTGAGATGTACAAAAGGGGTGCAATCAATCATCGCAATGGCGCAATGCTGTTTTCATTCTGTTAATGAAAGCATCAGATCCTGTGGATGCTGCTGTGCAGAGGTCAAGCTATCCCCAAACTTGACAATTTATAAGTATCTTCCCTCTGCTCCAGTAGCTAGAGGAGCTGTCTTCAATTAGGGGCCCTCCAGATGTGTTAAACTTCAACTTTCTAGCTAGTGTTGCCAGTAGCTGTGCTGGCTAAGGATTTTATGAATTTAGGTACAGGTGGGAGGCTCCTGGCTGAGAAGAGCTGATCTAGCAGGGAATGACTCAGGTACCAGGGGGGTCTCCCTGAAGAAGGCATCTAAAAAGTAGGATCTAGTGCCTAAGGAGTTATTGGCTCAAAGGAGGAGGAGATGAGCAGGTCTGGGTTGTCAGGTTTCACAAGTGGCACACCTGTAAATCTCAGCTCTCTGAACACTTAACCCTGTTCCGAGATGGGTTTACTTGGCAAAACATTCACAGACACAGTTGGGTTAAATTAGTTCCTTTATTACAAACAAGAATGAAGTTAGGTACACAGAGAAGACAGTGCAGTACACAGAAGTCAAAGCATTTACGCAGATCTGTGTTCTGAGGTCTAAATTCTAGGCTTTTTCCTCCAGCTCTCCTGAGTCAGTGAACACTTGGCTGTTCTCTTGACGGCCTTCGAAGGTACCTGTTCTGTGTTGACATAACAGTCCTCTCTAGCCTGGGAGCCATCAGCTTCATTCCTTCCCCTGATCAAGTCATGTTCATGGTGGAATAAAATCAAGATCCTTGACAGTTCCGAGGATGCCAGGTTAGAGTGCCAAGGACCTGGGATAGTAAGGAAAGTGCAGAAAATATGACATTTCTCAGTACTGGTTTACCGCTAGTACTGGAACTTTGTGATCTGCCACAGAAAAACGAAGCAAAGTTGTCACTCCAGGGGCTGCAACAAAACATTTAGAAGTCCATTCTGCAGAGAAAAGTCTGCAGAGTAAAGAAGGAACATCCTTGGTGTTCAATGCAGAACTGAATGCAGGCAGGTCTCCTCAACCTGAGCTATGGAGAAACTAAATGTCTTCCCCAGAGCTCCTGCTGTTTGAGTGGGAGAGTTTCAGGACCTGGATTCAGACGGACAATAGAGAGTATATAATAGAGAAGATCCCTCTTTGCAGTGACAACCTGCTATAGGAGGACAGCTGATGGTTTCAGGAACTGTATGTATCAGTGTGAGCAGGAAGTTCCTGGGACTAAACTTATGAAAGGATTTGAAGTGCCAGCATTTTAATCTGGCTGTGAAACTAATTAGGAACCACTATTGTTAATTCTGCATGAACAAAATGTGATCTTGGCACACGGCCCAGGCTGAGTCTGGCAACTCTGTTCTGAACTGAAGGGTCTGTTTTGTTTCAAATGCCATTCCATCCCAAAGTATTATATGTCTAACCTCAAGACTGCCAAAGCCTGGAGTACCAGGCCAAGATATCTCACCCATTGGTTGACTTCATCTTGCCAGAGGATTTGGCTTCAAATGATGCTTCCTTGTTCAGTTTATTGGTGTTCCCCCAAAATTAATATGTGGGTGCAGAGGCTATATGAATCTCTTGACCTTCAGGCTTCATATATCTAAGGTGCTGGTATCCCACAAAGGTCATGGGCTCTGCAGAATGAAATCCTTAGGAAGGTGGAGACTCCTCTGGAGGGCTCAAAGAGAAGGGCATAGGCAAGAAACGATGGGATGGATTTTGGGATTGGGGCAGAATAAATGATTTGGATGTAATTGGTTGTTATTATGACTTGCTCTTCCTTTCTCATAGGGGGATCCTGGTGTTGAAGGCCTTTCTGGAGAGAAGGGACAGAAGGTGAGATGACCTATAGAAGTGTTTCTCAACCTCAGCCCCTTTAAGATGCGTGGACTTCAACTCCCAGAATTCCCCAGCCAGCAGGCTGGCT